TTTTTTAGCAGTATAGGAGACACAGCTAACTCATTTTGTACACATTTACTGTGGGTCAAGACTTGGGTTGTTAGGATGCTCTTACACTGTGGATTTCTTCTCTAGGCTAAAGGAAGACCCAAAACAGGGTCTCAAATTATGTTATTTCTCAACATACCACTGAAAGTGATTAGCCTGTTACTGCTGTAGCTGATTTGATTGCATAGGAATAATCTTGACTCAGTGGACAACTTAGTGCCAGTGAACCTGTCTGCCTATTACACCATCATACTCAGGGAGGATACCAAGAGGTCCTAACCCAAGAACTCAGACTGTATCAAACTCTTCAAGAATGCCTGCAATTTTCCAGGCATGATAGTGCACGTCTATAATCAGGAGACTGAGGCAGGAGGATTGCATTGAGTTCAAGGCCAACCTCAAATACACAACAAGACCCTCTCTCAAAAAATAAAGAAAGAGAGAGGGAGAGGGAGAGATAAGCAAGCAAGCAAGCTTGCAACCTGGGAAAAATAAGTCCTAAGTCTGAGTTAAAGACTTAAAGAGTAAAGAGTTATTGGGGTGTGAGTACTCAGACTCTCGGACAAAGAAGCTACTTGGGAATCACATATGTAATGTTTCATGGAATATTTAATCTGTGTTCCCAATGGACATCTTATTGGTTTTAGTTTTTGTATGTTTATTGATTTATTTAGTAATGTGGGGTTATGTTATGGTCTTTTACGGTTTCCTGTGTTTATTAGGTTGATACTTCTGTGTACTTGTTCTTTCATTGGCTCTGATTTAATAGGTGTCTAGATTCTCTTCTTTGTCTTAGCTTTCTATCTAGTTTCCTCACCTAAACAATTATTACTAACCCCTAAACAATATTACTAACATATTGCTTTATCCTTTCCCCCAACATGTAAACTCCTCCTCCCAAGTTTTAAAATTCCCCATATTTAGCTCCCTCACAGTCATTCCTATCTTCTCTAGTATTAATCCTCAATCTTCCCCATCCTAAGCCTTTGGCTCTTTCATATCCCACCTAGCTTATTGTCTTCCCTATCAGTAAGTCATACTCCATGTGACAGGAACCCAGAAAAAACCAGGGGTAGCTATTCTATTTGCAAACAATGTGAACTTCCAGCTAAGACTGATTAAAAGAGACAAAGAAGGTCACTGCAGATTTGTTAAGGGAAAATGCCAAAAAGAAGAGATAACAATCATAAATATATATGCACCAAAGACTGGTGCACCCAACCATATAAAACAAATATTAACAGACATGAAAAATCTAAATAGCACTAACACAAATGTAATGGGGGCTATTAATACCCCAAGGTCACAAATAGACAAATCAACTAGACCAAAAATCAACAAAGAAATATCAGAACTGAACCAAACTTCTGAACAAATGGATTTAGTAGATGTCTACAGAGTGTTCCACCCCACAACATCAGAACACACATTCTTATTGGCATAGGAAATGACTTTATGAACAAAATCTCAGTAGCACAGGAACTAGCACAAAGAATCAACAACTGGGATCTCATCTTATTAAAAAGCTTCTGC